ACAGCTCTAGACGCTCTGGAAACTCCTCCCGACGCTGCAGGAGCTCAGGCTCAGACGAAACAAACGGTACCCGAGTGGGGCTCAACACCCTCGTGCCGCCGGCAGGCTCGAGCTTGCATCCTGGGCAACTTGGGGGACGGGAGCTCGTTGAGACGCCCATTTCGCAGCTTTTCGGGCGGGGCGCGGCCGACGAAAGTGGCCAAGGTGCGGGCAGTACTTATACCCATATCCAGAGCGTCGTGGATTATTTTTTGGAAAAGGTGCCGCAACGCCGAGGCGCACTGGATATGGATGAAATCAAGCCTCCTGGGGCCAGATTTTTATCCATATCCAGTGCGTCTACGGTTTCTGGGGAAGAGAGCCCAAGAATCCAAGACGCACTGGATGTGGATATAACTATTGCCCGCACAAGGATGGACTGACGAGGCAAGGATGTCAGGGCACCCTCGGGAAGGTTGCCCATCCTTACTATGCGGGTTGACTGTACACCCTGAGGCGAACCCGTGGGCAGAACATCTGCTGGAGGATCTGGAGTTTGCGTACGAGGGCTGGGAGGAGTTCAGAGGCCGGGTACCAGGGGATGTCCCCCTACTTCGACCCTTTTACTGTAACGAGCACTGCGAGTGGGTCGACATCGGATTCACGATTGTCAGAGCGAGCTTGCTGACACGATCCAGATCACCACCGACGGGAGAAGAGGACAACGGGTTGTGTCCAACGATGGGGGAGGAAGAGGGACCGAAACGATGTCGCTGAGAACTCTTACACGAGGATGGACGATAATCTGGTGAATAATTTCGACGAGGAAGCGTTACGCATTCACGCAGGCCGAATGCACCGAGTAAGACACGAGGCCGCCTTGCTGACTGTTGCCAGTCAATGTTTCAGATGGCTCCAAGATCTCAGTACTCCGGATAACGCCTGAAGGCAAGTCGGGAGATCATACCAGACGTGCGTTTGCTCCAGATGCAAAAGTACATGTGTGGCGCAAAAGGTTACCGAGCCCAGGGAACTGTCCTGTCCGAGCCGCCGTGTGGAGGCTCAAGACCTGCTGGAACTACAATTGAAGAGGAATTGGGGCACGCAAAAAAATAGACACAGAGAACCAAGATAACTATATTTTCTCAGATAATTTGGGTTTGGGTCTTCCCCCCCCACTTCCCATATTTTCCCATATTTCCTGGGAGTCGACGATTCATTGTGTCTGCGTGTCTCTTCCCCTCCCGAACAGTGTCGTATCAGATCTCGCTGTTCTGTGCTAGGCCCTCGCACCTTTTGGACGCACGAGCGGTACGAGACGTCAGAGGCACCCGCGGACGCGGCCCCGGCCGTGGCACGGCCTGGCCGCGCTCTGCCGACGACGCCGCGCCGCCCCTCGGGAGATGGGAGCGGCGGGGGGCTCAGGAGCGGAGCGGAGGGCGCACCGAAAGCCGGGGGCAACGCCGAGCTGGAGAGCCCGCGGCGGGAGGAGGAGGAGGAGGAGGAGGAGGAGGAGGAGGAGGAGGAGGAGGAGGAGGAGGAGGAGGAGGAGGGAGGAGGAGAAAGAGGAGGAGGAGGAGGAGGAGGAGGAGGAGGGAGGAGGAGGCTGAACACAGGCAGAAACATTCGGGCGCCCCTCAGAAGAGGGCGCGAGCGACGGTCAAAAGACGGGCCTTGCGCGAGGTGGCGCAAGGACCGCGCGCGGCGGCTCACGCGGGCCGCCAGCGCGGCGCGCCACATTGTGAAGCGAGGGCGCCTGCGCGCGCCCTTGCGCGGGAAGCCCACGCGCGAACTTCGGTTCGCGGTCGCACCCGTTTTTGTGCAGCTCGGGCGGAGGGGGCGCTCGAGGCCAAAGACCTACAGAGCACGAGTCGTCCGGTCTGGCTCGAGATGGCGCGCCAACACGCACAGCAGCCTCGAGACGCGGCGGCGGCAGAGTGGGCGAACATCGTGACGACCACGGAGTGCGCGGTGGTCGAAGAGGCCAAGAGCGCGGCCGAGCTCTGCGCGGAGGTGGCGGCCAGCAGGCGGCGAAGAAAAGTCTCGGACCCTCGCAGCCGTACACAGCGCGCGCAGGGTACACGTGCCTCGCGGATTCGGTAGCGGTGGGCACGGCGGTGCCCGAGCTGCACTCAGTGGTGGTCACATTCTACAGGAAGTTCGCATCAGGAGCGAACCAAGATGGTCCGCTATGTCAGACGCAACAGAGGCTACAACGAGGTTGGCGATCGCGGATATCGCGGATGGCCTGACGATTCTGAAAGTCGTCGAGCTGGAGGAGATCGCTTACAACAAGCTGGAGATCGAGCAGGCCGTGACTCACTGAGTGGTATCTCTCGAGGGAGGAAGCTTAAACTAGGGACGGCCCCGCAAGGGCCCTTGGAAAGATTGGCGCAGACACTGATCGATGTGACCAAATTCAAAACCGACGAGGGTGAGGGGAAGAAGTAACCACATCAAGGTGGAAGCATGATTGGAGGTACTGAATGCAAATACGTAGTTTATCAAAAAGAGCCGGCGCAAGCATCAGGGGGGAACTCTTAGTTGAACGTGACCCGATATCAAGAGGCATGTCATCTTATTCGGGGGATCATTAGTTTCGATGTGACCTGATGTCTGATGGTACGACATGGGGGATACTTAGTTACTGGCACGATCTCATGGATTGGTGGGTTCGCTAATCGTATTCCATGGCCACAGCGAGATCAGGAAAGTGGCGATGAGCATTCTCAGTTAAACATGTGAAAATCACGCTGCTCAATAACCTCTCGGCTGACATTACATGCGCCAAAACTGTTGAAGCCCATTGACTCGAGAACCGACCTTCCATATGATCCGTCCCGTCCGCCACGATGTCCACCGGGACACGACAGGCGAGGACCCCGAGAGCCTGTCCGACACCTACCCCCAGAACCTCGATATCCACCCGCCTTCCGATTTCCACGGGTGCTGCACACATGCGCGTGAGACCTCTGACCGCGGCTCGAACAGGACCCGCGTCTACAGTGCGGGCGCGCTAGCAAGAAACCCTCGCAGGAAAACAAGCCCTGAAGACCCATGCGACTGGGGGGATGCCCAGGGCACCCTGAACGCAGCAGCTTCTTCAACGGCCGCGGGAAGTCACCGCGCAGCGCGAGGAGTGAGGAAACCCAGGGCACTCTGATGAAAAGCATATGGTTTCTTGATGCGCACCCCCGCTGTACTCCATTTTCCTCTCGCTGAAGGCCTATGTGACAAACGCCACCGACGGTAACACCAGCTCCTACGTCTAAGGCTTCAGACCCCCTGCTCTTCCTGTGCCACCAGCACGGCGCCTGCGCGCTGTCCGCCCTCCCTCCCTCCTCCCTCCCTCTCCCCCCTTGACGTGTACACTATGATGACTTGTTGGTGCCTTCACCCCCCCCTCCGCTGCTTGCTGCTTGCTCTCCCGCTGCTGCGAATATCCTTGATTTTTCTGTCGCCCCCTTCCGCGATCGACCCCCTTTCCGCCTGGTCGCCTCTGAGCCCTTGGCGTGCACAATATGCTAAGTGGTTGGTGCCTTCCCCCCCCCCCTCTCCGGTGGCAACTCATGGGAGCCTCCCATGCCATCTTGTCGGCCCTTGCGAATCGCTGCTAGTCGACGCTAAATCGACGCTAGGCAAAGCTAATCGACGCCAATTCCGCTAGATCGGCGCTATCTCATCGACTCACAGACGCTAATCGACGCGAATCGGCGTTGAAGACGGAATTGAGAGGGTATACCAGGCTCTCATGACTTGCTACCGACCCCCTCCGCTGCTTGCTGCCTCCTCTTCCTCTGCGAGATAATCTTCTCCTTCCATCTCGGCCGCCTCCCTTCCGCGATCGACCCCCTTTTCCGCCTGGTCGCCTCCTGCGAGGGGGGGGGAGAAGGCTGCATTGAGGGTGGGGGGTGGGCGTCTCGCACGCAGGCCTTGTGCACGCGGCACCGCAGGCGTCGGCCTCAGCAAGGCCCGAGAGCATCACCCTCAGCCCAAGGAGACAGCATACATTGCGACTGCCGAAAATACCCATAATATGACAGGCTGCACGGTGGGTGAAACCCGTCCCTTGGATCTTTTGGAGACGGTTGCGAGTCTGGGAGGTGTTTGCTTTTTGTCGTCGAGCGACTGCTCGGCAATCAGCAGGACAGACTGAGAGCCACACGCAAAGCCAAGTCTTCGTTTATTGTCCTTCCTCCTCCTCCTCCTCCTCCTCCTCCTCTTTCTCCTCTTTCTCCTCTTTCTCCTCCTCCTCCTCTGCATCATCATCAACATCATCATCATCATCATCAGCATCATCATCATAATCATCATCATCATCCTCATCCTCATCCTCATCCTCATCCTCATCCTCATCCACATCATCACCATCATCATCATCATCATCATCATCATCACCATCACCATCACCATCACCATCACCATCACCATCATCATCATCATCATCATCATCATCACATCATCCTCATCCTCAGCAGCAGCAGCATCAGCATCATCAGCATCATCATCATCCTCATCCTCATCCGCACTTCTCAGCATCACCCTCCTCCTGCTCCTTATCCTGCTCCCTCCTCCTCCGCCTCATTACTACCTTCGTGCTTGTCTCCCTTCGGGGCTCCACCCCCGCCGCCATGGCTGAACCTCCTGTAACTGGGGAAAACCAGAAGGTACCGATACCGCTTCTCCCTGCCCAGGCGATCCGCAGGAGGTCGTGGGGAGGAGGATGATGAGGATGAGGAGGAGCATGAGGAGGAGGAAGAGGAAGGGGCAGACCTGGACCTCTCCTGGTGTGCGCTCTGATCATCACTTCGAGGCGAATCCAGCGATGGCGACGAGTGTCTTCCAGGACCCCCCCAAAAACAAAAACTGGGCAAGGGTAGCGGCATCGGTGACTTCTTCCCCTCTGACTAGCATCCTGCCACCTCTTACCCCTCCAACCTCATGCTTGCACATTCTATCTTATCAGCCTATCGCCTCCCCCACCTGGCCCCCAGCCGAGGAAGAAAGGCGCGGGGCGGCGCTTGTGCTGGTCCTGCCCGACGATGTTGTGCGTCTGGTACACCTCTGGAGGAGGACGAAGGGGACGAGGATGGGTAGGACGGGGACAAGGAAGGTCGACCACCTTGTCGTCCCCAGTATCGGGCTCTGAGGGTCGGTTACCAGCACCAACAGGCCGTAGGAGATCAACCTGGAACGAAAACCTGGTCAGGATGGGCCCGAGGAAGAGTGCGGGACAAACGTTGCGCACGCTTGGGTCGCGAAGGGGGGCCGGAGGAGCATCGACCAAGCGGAGGCGTCCAAAAAAAAAGGCCGTCCGGGGGTCGCAGACCATGGCCCGAGGCACGACCCGCGGCCCTGCGGGGCAGGGCTCGGGAACGTACACGGATAAGAAGAGGCCGCGCGAACCCTGGACAGATAGCACGGCCCCCGCCATCACATCCCCCCTCCCTATGAATCATCACCCCCTTTCTTCCCCGCCCCCGAAGGTGCATCAACCGAGCTCCCGCGACGCCACTCCGTGGGGCCGGCCGCTCACCCCCGGACCCAAGTCCCAGCCCGTCCCGGGGCGCGAAGCGTCCCCCCCGATGCCGACGTCAGTGGACGACGCCAGGATCCAAAGAATCAATGCGCGAGGAAGAGGAGGAACAAAAGGACGAGGAGGAGGAGGAGGAAGAGGAGGAGGAAGGAGAGGAGGAAAGGAGCGAGGGAGGGAGGGAGGGAGGGAGGGGGAAGAGGAGGAGGAAGAAGAGGAGGAGGAGGAAGAGGAGGAGAAGGAAGAGGAGGAAACGCTACATTTTATCCTCCAAGGCGATTATCTTGTTATCTCATTTTTTTCTCTCTCTCTCTCTCTCACTCTCTCTCTCTCTCTCTCTCTCTCTCTATACACACATACATACCTATCTATCAATATATTTCTTTTTCTCTGCCAGCCGGTCCTGCACTGCCCGCGCCGTCTGCCTGCTCTGCCAGTCGCAGCGCCCAAGTCGGCCGCGCCCTGCTTCTTTTTCCTACAAAGACGCTCCTCAGCGCCACTCTGACGGGGACTCCGCTGGCGGGCACTTTGGCTGGTGGCCAAGCGAACCCAGGGCTCCCCGACGTGGGCAACCCTGCAACGCAAGAGTCCTTTAAGCGCCAGCTTTCGGCAACTTTCCAAAGCACCCGTTGATGAGTACCCGTGACGGTGCCGCTGAGCTCCAGTTGCCAAGCAGAGCCCCCCCCCCCAAAAAAGAAACTCAACGACTTCAGAATGCGAAAATTTCCAACACGTCGCTTTCCACAAGCTGGACCGCGGGGGATCATCATGGAACGCCGCCGCGCCACCGAATCGCCGCGCGCCGCCTACCCCTGCCATTGAATCACGCCAGGAGAGCCGCGGAGGCACGACCAACGCGGCCCCCGAGCCAGGCCGTCACGCGACCGCCATGGAACTCATCGCCACGATGACGCTTCATTCCGCAATCGGCGGGCATAGCGCCCGCGCGAATTGGGGCGCGAGCAGCCGACGAAGCGCAGACGGAATCGGCGCGCGCGCAGCCGTCGAAGGGCCAGGCGCTGCCCCAGCCGCGCGGCCGATAGCTTGCGCGGGAGAAACACCCCCCAAGCGAATTTATGATAGAACGCGCCGGTGCGGGACCGACGGGCCACAAGAAAAGGCCACTTTGGAGACCCCGCGTGAAGAAGAAGCGCTCGAACGCGAGCGCCGCGTGGGGAATTGGCGGGACGCCGGAAGCGGTTGGATCTCATGCCCGCGCAAGTTGAGCAAACTCCGCTTCTGGGGAGTAGCGCTCGTGGGGCCCGCCGCGGGCGCGGGGGCCGCTGGCGCAGACTTTGCCGCAACCGCGGCGAGGCCCCGGCGCTCTCCCCTGGGGGCCACGGCGCGCGGCTGCGCTGGTGGCGGAGAAGAGGGGCCTGACGGCAAACGTCGGCTTCGAAGCCTGAACGGCCGGCCGCGGGCGCGGCGGCGCAATCGCGAACCCGCCGCGCGGGGCAACGCGGCCCGCCGCGAGGGCATCCTCTCCAGCCGAGCGGGGGCCCCCGGGGGAGCCCCTTGCCCCCTCCCCGACCCCCCCCGCCGCCTTTCCGCGGCGCCCTGCCCCCCCTCCCCGTTCGGCCACGACTTGGGACACTTTTTTGGCTCCGATGTTGCGCACTTTTTTGGCCTCCCTTCCGCGGAGGCACTTTTTTTTTACCACGAATTTTTCTCGAAAGTAAACCAATAAGAAAAATCGTGTTCAAAATCGCGGGTGGTTTCGTGGGGCCGTGCAAGGGGGCGCGGAATCGTGGCCGAAAATCGCCGGCAAAATCGTGTCCGAAATCGTGGGCAAAATCATGTCCGAAGTCGTGGGCGAAATCGTGCTGCCGAAATCGTGGGCGACATCGTGGGCGAGGGATCGCGGGCCTGCCCGGTGCGCCAGCATGCCGAGCAGGCGCGCCCGCGCAACGTCAGCGACGGTAAAGAAACCAAAAACAAAAAGCCAGCAGCAGCAGCGGGAAAAAGAAAGAATGGGAAGCAGCAGCAGGAGAGGAGAGAAGGAGTCGTCAAAATTGGCCCGCCCATTCGTCGCGCGCCCCATAGCGCACTGGACATGCTTCTCGGGGGGAACTCGCCGGCCCAACGGGCCAGAGGCGCGCGTAGATCTCTGGCGACTGCCTCGCAACATTTCTACTTCGCGCGCGCGGGGCGCCTCAGACAAGCCCCCAGACGCAACGTGCCCTGGCCAGGTCGGGCCAAAGATGGTTCTTTTCCTGGGCGCGGCTTTCAGGCGCCCCAAAGCGATGCAAAAGGGCCCCAAGAGGCGCCCGAGACGGTCCAAGAGGGCTCCGAGTCGTCGAACGATCGGCCCGCGACACCCACGATGGCTTCCAAACGGCCCACGACGCGCGCAAGACCCCTGACGAGGCCACCGCGAACTGAAACGATACCCGAATGACGCGTCGAAGCGAGATTGCGCGCAAACCGCACGCCGAATGCCCAACATCGGAGCGGGTCGGCGACGCAACAACTTCTGAACAAAGAAAAACCGAAAAACTCGGAGATCTAAATATTTTTGCCTCGGGACGAAAAACACACACACACACACACACACACACAAATCGCTGCATCAATCCGCTTGAGGGACGCAGCTTCATGACTCACCATCGATCGGACGTCCACTTCATGTTTCGACTTCCTGCGCGTATGTTTCGCAGGATATTCCCAGATGCTCCTTGAGGCTCTTTTTTGGACACCCGAAATGGGTACCGAAAGAATGGGCAACATGCCCAACAACAAATGTTGTCCCGAACCAACAGCGGCCGCTGTTGGGCAGGCGGCCTTCTGTCTCAAATGGACACAGGCCGCGGCGGCGCAGACAGCGAGTCCTGTTCAAAATGAACAGGAACTGCTGTTGGGCATCGTGCCCATTCTTTCGGTACCCATGTCGGGCGTCCAGATCTTTGCCGAGACAAAATATGCACACGTCCGAGCGATGCCAAGATGACTCCGGCCACCCGGAGGTGCCCGGCGGCACCCGGGAGGCCGCGCGCCCCCCCCCCCTTCCCTGACCTTCCAGAGAGCCTATTTTTTAGCACGGGAGGCCTACAAACCTAAAAAACAAAACGAAACAGCCTAAGACAAGACATAGAATAGCTCTGGGATAGGTTCTTAAGTCGCGTGTTTTTGGGAGTACAGGTCCCGGCCCGGCGGAGGGCCCAAAGTCCCCGTGCCGCCGCGCGAGTGCAGTCGGAGCGTGGACCTAAGGAACGAGAAGTACGGAGCGGGGCCCCTTGGCGGCGTATTGGGCCCCAGGGGAGCCCAAGACGCCGCCAAGGAGCCCCAAGACGAAGCCCCCAAGAAGCCCCCAAGACGGCCCCAACAGGCCCCAAATAGCGCTCCAGGGCCAGCGGAAAGAGCGAAACGATTAAGTAAGGAACGAGGCCCCTTTTTCCCATACATGAAGCTCCGATGATCCATGGAGCACCTTGGGAAAACCCAAGGAGCGCTGTAAAGCAACTAGGGAACACGGAGCCCCTCCCCAACAGAAAGGGTTCCTGCTTCAGGGCCCTGGCAGTAGCGCAGGTTGGCGGCGCGCAGGTATGCAGTGGAGACCAGTCCAGAAGAGACCTTCCACGAAAAACCCAACACTGGGACCCCAGGACGTCCATGGATTCCTGGTGCGGGATCCTCGCGCTTTCCATAGCAGAACCGTCGGAGCCCAAGAAACCCAGGGCACCCTGGAGACAAGCTGGAGGAGGAGGAGGAGGAGGAGGAGGAGGAGGAGGAGGAGGAGGGTGTTTCTTGGCATGGACCTCGACTGTGCAGGGGACAGGGCTCGGGGAGGCAGGGCTCGGTGGTACGGGGGCTCCCACGGCTTGCTGCCGCACGCACCCCATCCCCCGCCGCCCACCGAGTTGCCAGAGTCGTGGATGGGCGAGGGTGGGATTGGGAGTCCGCCGCCGAGCCCCTGGCGGCGCGCACTGCAGTCGGACTCGATTGGACAGGACACGCGAGAAGGCACAAGACCCATCCGAAGGCCACTTTGCCGCAGGAATGCAGGAAGCGTGGGTCGCGAGACACAGGACACAAGGGTACCCTTGATGTGGCAGGGTCGATCTACTAATCTGGGCCGACTGTGACTGTAGGTGGTGGGGGGAGGGGGCAGGGCTTCTGAGGAGGAGGCTGCTTCCGAAAAGGCGCCGGCCTTGCACCTGCAGATGAGGCCCGCACCTTCTGAGACGCAGCCTCCTTCCAAGAAGCATTTCCCCCCTTCTGGCCATCGCTCGGACGTCTATTCCCTGTACTTTTTTTGATTTCGTGCGTGGCTTTTTCGCCAAATGATCAAGGATGCTCCTCGATGGTCCTCGCCGAAGGGAAAATCCACACGTCCGAGCGATGCCAAGCCTCACCCGGCCCCCATCTGCGCGTGGGCGAGCCACTGCGATCGGAGGGCTGCGGAGCAAGCGCGCAGAAGCGCGCCGAGTTCTCTGCGGGGCGGAAACCGCGCGAGGGTCGTGCTGGAAATGAGCGGGGGGCAGCATGCCTGTGCGACTGTTGGGGACCTACAGGGCAGTTTTTAACACCTAGGATTTTAAAGAATATTGTACGATTTGTAATACACGAGTGATTCATGAATCAATGTATGCACGAACTCATCGTTGTTGTTTAATACTAGATCCCTGCATTTGTAATACATGATCCGCACGCGGGGCATGTGTTAAAAACGGCACTGTAGGTAGAGCTCCCCGTGGGACACGAGATCGGTGTGAGGGGGTGCGCCGCTGGGCGGGGCAACGCCACGCGAGCTTTGTCCCTGGGGGCCGAGATAGGGGGCCCAACAGGGCACGAAACGTGCCAGGCGTGTGTGCCGAAGCAGGCGCGCGGAATGCAGCGGCAGGGAGACGATGAGGAGGGAGCGGGAGGGAGGCGGCGCGCACAAGGGGGCGGAGGGAGGGGGGAGGGCTTCTCAGAAGGAGGGGGCTTCTCAGAAGGCGCGGCCTTACATCTGTGGACAAGGCCCGCACCCTCTAAGAAGCAGGGGTGCTTCTAAGAGGCCCTCCCCCCACCGCCCTCTGCGCGTGGATGAGGGAGGGAGGCGTGGGGAGAGGGTGGGGCGCGGCGCCGCGAAGTGCGGAACGAGGGCTCGGATTCCACGGAAGGGTCGGGGCAAACCGTGCCAACGAGCCAGATGGCGACGGCGGCGAGGACGATCACGAGGACGGCGACGAAGGCCAGGACGACGGCCAGGACGATCACTGAGGACGAGGACGACGACGACGACGACGACGACGGCGATAACAACGACGACGACGACGACGACGACGACGACGACCACGGCATCTGCAAGCGCTTGCTTCCAGAAAGAGAACGAGAAAGAGATACACCGGCGGGCCGCGGGGGCCTTGGTAACGTCTCGGCCGTAGGGCCAGTACCTCGGGAAGGGGGCGGCGGCGGCGGAGACGTGGACGGCAACGGCGACGGCGGCGGCAGCGGCGGCGGCGACGGCGGCGGCGACAGCGGCAGCGACGAGGACAGCAACGACGACGACGACGACGACGACGACGACGACGACGACGACGACGACGACGACGACGACGGCAGCGTCGTCATCCTCGTCGTCGTCGTCGTCGGTGGCGTCGGCGACGCGAAGGGCGACGGCCGCGGGCGGCCACGACCTCTGGGCGGTGGGTTGGCGGCGTGGGCCGGGGTGGGGCGGAGGGGGGCGGGGGAGGGCGTGTCGGGGGGCGGCCGGCCCGCCCTCCCCCTCCCGCACCCTCTCCTGCGCCCCACTGCTCCTCCTCCTCCTCCTCCTCCTCCTCCTCCTCCTCCTCCTCCTCCTCATCCTGCTTCTGCTCCTGCTCCTGCTCCTGCTCCTCCTCCTCCTCCTCCCTCTTCTCGATCCCTTCTCGTTACGTTTATGTATCTATACACATCAACTTCTCTCGATCTCTCCCTCTATATGTAATTCCTCCTTGTCGCAACCCGAGGCCGGTCGAAAGGACGGGCCGGGCGCTTCCACTGAAACTTCCTTACTGCTCGTGATCCTGAAGCTTAAGACTTGCAAGAAGTTCACGGATGGAGGGCGGCCCGTTCTCAAGACGTGGCTCTCGCCTGCGCGCCGCGCACATTCATCTCAATCTTTGCAAGAGCTTCACGGATGGAGGGCGGCACGTTTTCAAAATTTAGCGCTCGCGTTAGCGCCGCGGGCATTCGTCTTCAAAGTTTGCAACAGTTTCACGGCTTCTCATGGCCAACGACCCAGACGTAGTGGTTCGGCACGATGTCGGAATATCAGGGCGCAACAGTCACACTGATTCGCTGTGTTGAAGTCCCAGGAATGGTGTTCTGGCACGATTCAAGATAGTCAATAAACAACAGTAGCGATGATTCGCGGCGTTGATGTCTTCTCAAGAATGGCGTTCTGGTAGAATGCCCGATGTTTGTACGGTTTTCTTCCAACGGGGCACTTCCCTCCGTGAAGTTGGAAAACTTGTGAGGGAATATGAAGAAGGGACTTGGAGGGATTCTTCATGCCAGTATCGTTGATGAGGCCTGAGTTTACACAGCTTCTGCTACTGTTCCTCCTCCGGTGGCAGCGCGGCGCGCGAAGGCGCGCGCGCGAGCGGGAGGACTCGGGGCAGGAGGGCAGACAACCCGACGCCCCACGCCCGACGCCCCGACGCCGACGAGGCCCGTCGACAACGACGGCGACGACGACGACGAACACGAACACGACGACCACGACGACGACGACGACGACGACGACGACGACGACGACGGGCGCGACGACGACGACGACGGCGACGACGACGACGACGACGACGACGACGACGACGACGGCGGCGGCGGCGGCGGCGGCGGCGGCGGTCTCCGCGGCCTGGACGACTGGCAGTCGTGCGAGGGGTGCGTCTCGCGCGCCTGCGCCGCCGCCAAAGCGGGGGGTCGTCGTCGCCTGCGCCGCCGCCCGCCGCTGCCGCCGCAGCGCGGCCAAGGTCGCCGCCGCCACTGTCGACGTCGTCGTCGTCGCCGTGGTGGTCGTGGTGGTGGTGGTCGTCGTCGGCGTCGAAGTGGTCGTCGTGGTCGTTGTCGTGGTCGTCGCCGCCGCCGCCACTGTCGCCGTCGTCGGGGGGGTGGGTGGCGAGGAGAAGGAGGTGAATATGGACGGTGAGGATAATGGTGTTGATGACGATGGTGACGAGGATAAAACAAGGGTGCAGAGGAGGGAAGGGAGGAGGAGGAACGGGAAGGCCACGCAAACCCAAGTCTCACCAACGGAAACCTCCCTCCAAATTCCGCCTTCATAGGTCCATACCACAAACTACTTCCCCCGAAATAAGTCCGCCGTTGGAAGGAAATCGCCTGAAAATCTCCAACCGTGCAAAGACACCATTATTGGGACTTCAGCGCCGCGAACCAACGGGACTGTTGCGCCCTGCTGGTTGCGCATCGTGCCAACATACCGCTCGTGAGACCTCAACACCGCGAATCAACGTGACTGTTGCGCCATGGCAGTCCTACACCGTGCCACGACACCACGTCTGGGACGTCCGCCCTAAAATGAAGGGGCCCCAGGACACACAATCAAATACACAAATAAAACTATTCCCCGTATTTTCCCATATTTTTTGGGTTTCTGTCTTCCCCCCCCGACTTCCCATATTTTCCCATATTTCTGGGGAATCGAGGACTAATTGTGTCTGTGTGTTTGTTTTCCTCCTGATAAACATCCTCGATTACACGGTTAGGCCGGACGTGCACGGCGCCGAGGCGAGAACTACTCTGAAAACCGCCCGCCCTCCAGCCATGCAGCCCCCGCAAACTCTGAACACGAGTGCGCGGAGCGCGACGGGGAGAGAACCACACGTTGAAAACGGCCTGCCCTCCATAAGTGAAACTCTCGCAAGCTTTTACGTCGTGACAAGCCACCCTCCATCAGTGAAACTCTTGCAAACTTTTACGTCGTGTCAAGCCACCCCCTCTGGGATGTCAGCCACAGGGACCCTTGAAACTGCTGCACACTCGCAGGACGGCTGTGCGCGGCGCGGGGGCGAGAGCCACCTTTTGAAAGAGACGCCCTCCATCCGTGAAGCTCCTGCGAACTCATGAGACGCACGCGACAGGCACTGCGGCGACACCCAGATTGTGAAAAAACAACCCCTCCAATCCGTGAAGCTCCTGCAGACCTCCAACTCGAACGTGCGCAGCACTGGGGCAAACACCACACGTTGACAAAGGCCCGCCATCGATCCCTGAAGATCCCTGCAGACCCTCAAGCTCCAGGAGCATGAATGGCGAGGGAAAGTCCGGCGCAACGACCGCTCCGCCCTACCGAAACGTCTCCGGGTGCGGCAGACAGGCGTTAAGTATACGGAAAGGGATGGAGGAGGAGGAGGAGGAGGAATCGCAGACAGAGGCGGAGGAAGAAGAGGAGGAGGAGGAGGAAGAGAAAGGGGAAATGAGTGGTGGGGAACATCGACCTAGGAAGAGGGGCCGGGCCGATGGGGGAGGATCTGGAGGGTTGCGGGGCTTGCGCGATCCTGGAACTTCCACGGAAACGAGGAGGAGGAGAAAGAGGAGGAGGAGGAGGAGGAGGAGGAGGAGGAGGAGGAGGAGGAGGAGGAGGAGCGGGGTATTAGTTTTGTCAAGAGCGGGGGGCACTCGCAGGGCACTACGAAGAAAGGGCCGGAAACATCGGAGAAGGAGGAGAATGCTCGGGAGTGGTGGGCACTATGTCTGGGGGCGGGGAGGGTGCAGAGGAGGGTCTGGAGAGCACTGGGGAGAAGGACGACGCGAAGGAGAAGGAGGAGGGGAAGGAGGCAGATTAGGAGCAGGGGGAGGCTAAGGATGAGGAAAGGGAGGGGACGGGTGAGCAGGACGAGGAAGAGGAGCAGGAGAAGGCGGAGGCAGGCGACAGGAGGAGGACGAGGGGAATGAGGGGAGGAGGGGAGGAGTAGCAGGGGGCTCCAGAGGAGAGTGGAGAACGGGATGCACGCGGGGCGGAGGAAGCACGGGAGGACATGGCCCGATGCGCCCCCGGGAGGCCGCGGGCGGCGAACGGGGCGTGTCTCTACCCGCGAGCAGGGGAGCCGCCGCTTGCGCGAGGAACGCCATGGAAAAGCACGGAGGCCCCAGCCCCTTTTCCTCCCCCGGTCGCGCCTGCCGCCCGCGGGCGACGAAGCCTTGCTCCGCGGCGCCACCACCACCAGACCGCAGAGCGAGAAGTATGCGGCGGGGGGGGGAGGGGGGCGACGCCGGGCGTCGGGGGGGGGGAGGGGGGCAGAAAGCTGAACGAGATGAGTATCAGTCTTAGGGTTCTTGCCAGCCTCCATCCTGCGATCCGCCCGCCATCCTCTGGTTCGCTCGGGTGGGAGGGTTCCCAGCAAGGGTCCTCCGCGCCCGAGGATTAGGTCGGGCATGTCCACCCACAGGCGGATTCTTGACGACAAATTAAAAATACTCAACAAAAATACCCCAAGATGGTCAAAAATAATAGAAAACTATGTTTTGACTATTCTTGAATATTTCCCCTGTAGAGGGACAGGTCCGTCTGAACCCAAGGAGGCGATCTTGACAAGGGAGCGCCACCCGTGCCGTGGCGCCCGCCAGTTCGGCAGCAGACATGCCCGCCCCGGGTCCTGAAGCTCAAGGAAGCGCTCGGCCCAGGGGCAGGAGAGCCCAGAATGGAATCGGCAAATCGGATCGGCGATCGACATAAATCGGATCGGCAGAAGTCGACAGCCGAGCCGCGAAAAGTCGAATCGGCGCACATCGGCAGGCTGGTTGTGCCTCCAGCGAGAAAATCGGAGCCCGAATCGGAAACCCAAGGCGAATCGAATCGACTCCGGAGGCCCTCGGAGTCGAATCGAATCGAATGGGGGAAGCAAAACGAGTCCCGAGACGGCGCTCGACCCAAGGCTCCACGGCAGCAGCAACGGGCAATCCGTGGGGGAGACGAAGAGGTACCGATGCCGCCACTTCGGGAGCGGCCAAGAGGGGGGTGTCCAAGGGGGGGGGTTCAAATCGTGACCGGCGGCATGTGCGCGGCCCCGCGGGGGGGCCAGGGACGTCATGAAATGAGAAGGGGCGCCATGAAATCCGGGGAAATATCATGGCCCACGCCACGATACCACCCCCCCCCTAGTCATCACCCCCCTCTTTTCCGCCCCCGACCACTCCACGGGCCTCTCCCGGGGGGCGCTCGGACCGGCATCTCGAGGCAGAGCCAGCGACGGCCTCGAGGGCCGCCGAGGAGGCCCCCCAAAGGGGCGGCAAGCGGGCGCGAAGGGCAGAGATTATGGGCACCCCTTCCTCCTCCGAGGCCGTGGACGCCGCCGTGGGGCCCAGCGGCGCCGGCGCGAGGCAGGCCCTCGGCAGCGTCGGGGCGCCCAGCCGCGCAGAGGCGCGGGGGCGGCGCAGGCCGCAAAAGGGCCCCCCGCGCGGGAGCGGAGCCGAGGCAGAGTGGGCAGGGCGCTGCACGGGCGGCGGCGGGGTGGCTCTCTGCGGGCGAGCAGGGCGTCGGAGGTGTGCGTGCCATGGCGCCGGGCACCCGAGCAATCCTACAGGGCAGGTTTTAATACATAGGATGATTTAAAACAAACCTTGATAGGAAAAAAAAAAATGCTTCAATAAAATAAGATGTTTCATACATGATCAAGGTATGGATAAATCTGTGCTATGCATGAACTCCTCGTTGTTTTTAATGTTAAATCCCTGCATTGTTTATACATGGTCCGCACGCGGAGCATGTTTTAAAGACAGCACTGTACAGTCAACCCGCGCAGGAAGGGTGCGCGATAAGGACGCAAGGGCCTTGGAAGGCCACGTCGAAGCTCTTCGAGCGGGGCGCGGCCAGCGAGAGTGGCCAAGGATGCACCGTGGAGGCAAGGATGCAAGGGTACCCGTGGGAAGGTTGCCCATCCTTACCATGCGGGTTGACTGTATCATTGCATAGAAAGATGTGCCCGGCAGTGTGCGAAAAGGTTCTTGTGAAAAGGTCGAACGCATGTTTCTGCATGTTCGAGACATGCTGCATCCATGTTTAGACATCTGGGCTGTATTTGGCAACGGGCTTCCCCTCCACCGATCGTCGCCCACGGCTCTGGGCGAACATGGCTTCTGAGGGGCAGCGGCGCCTGGGCCCGTCTGCCGCAAGCAGACGGCGGCACCGCCAGGGTCTCCGAGCGCAGCACCGCGCTCCAGACCAAGCGGCATGACGACCGCGCTGGACCGAATCGTCATCGTCATCGTCGTCGTCGTCGTCGTCGTCATCGTCAGCGTCGTCGTCGAGGGGGCCGAAGGGGGCTGGAGCGGGAGGAGGGAGCCCCAAGGCCCTGCAGACGGGGCGGTCGTCAACGGGCCGGCAGCCAAGGGTGCGCTTTCAACTGTGCCATTAGAAAAGGGACGTGCCGCGCACATGTGCGAGGTAAAGCCTCCCCCCGCCCAGAGTGGTGATGATGCATCGACGTTTTGGTCGTCCCGATGTATCACGCACTAGTGCGAGGTAATTGCCCTGCCGCCCCGTTCCCGCTTGAAGAGGCCCCTTAGCTACCGCCCAGATTGCTAACGCCCCGTTTGCAGTGGCTTGGGAGTCCACCTGGTCACCAGTCCACCGTTGGCTCTGCAACATGCTCTTGGCCGCCGAAGCCAATAACTGAATGGTCGCTTCAAGATACGCAAGCTCACCAGCCATGGCTTTCGAGAAGGCCTCAGAAAAGCAGTGGGAGGCAGACCCGAGCATGGCGCAAACAATCCACCCAGAAGTTCCCAGCCCATCGCTCGAGGGAAACACCTTGCCCGATGGCCTCACTGACAGCCAGATGGGCGGGGGACCCAACAAGATGCGGGCGGCGCGCCCGTCGCGGTGGCAAAACCGATCCGCCCTGAGTGCTGCAGACTTCGCCTTGCCGAGAGCGCCCTCGACGTCCCAAGAGTTCCCTTCGCGCACCGTGGCTCGAAGTCCGAAGCTGCCAAGGCAGAGTCTTACCAGCCTGCACCATATCCCTATCCCTATGCTGGGCATCTCCTCATCACGATGCCAATCTTAGGGATTCCCTTATGTCTTTGAGGGCGCATCCCTAAGATTGTCATCGCTTTTTGGCATGTCAATCTTAGGGATAGGGATATGTTCGAGGCTGGTAAGAGTCAGGAGCATGCCAAAGGGGGCCCGCCTCGCAGCCCGTGGCTGCCGCCTGCAGCAGGACGCGAGGGGCCACAGGCCCGCGCACGGCCCAGCCGTGGCGACGATGTGTGCACGACGTGGGGCGGACCACCCGGGGCGGACCAGGCGACGACGAGGGCAGGCCGCGGAGGGCCGTATCCGCTTGCATCGCAAGGAGACTTGAATTCTTGAGCCAGCATGGGGACGGAAAGGAGGCACGTGAGGAGAAGAAGGGTCGGGAGGAGGAGGAGGGGAGGAGGAGAAGGAGGAGGAGGAGGAGAACCGTGACCTCCACCAGGCTTCGGGCCGCATCCTCGAGGTCCAGAGTGGAACGTCATTGGTCTGGCACCCTGTGCTGGGAGGTTCGATTCGGTTTGGCTCGGACTCCGGTAAGGAGCGCGCCCGTAGCCCATTGGCGGGATCACCAGGAGCAGACAAGACAGAGATCTGAGAAAAGAGGTAGGAAGAGAAGGAGGAGGAGGAGGAGGAGGAGGAGGAGGCGGAGGCCAGAGGTCAAGGAGAAGCACCGTCGTGCACCTCGCAATGCTGGACGCCGAACCCTCGCATGGAGGCTCAAGAGGCCTCGGGAGTCGACTTCTTTCAAAAGAGAAGATGCGTTCCTCGATCCCTCTTGTCGCCCTTACTCCTACTCCTCGCTGCACATCCTCATCTTCCTCTTCATCCTTGTCTTCCTTCTTCTCCTCCACCTCCTCCTCCTCCTCCTCCTTCATCCCTGCTCGCTACACCTCCCTCCTACTTCCTCTTCCCCCCCCTCCCCCTCCCCTTCTCCCTGCTCTTCACTCCTCCTCGCCCTCCATCTGCTCATCCCCACTCCTGCTCCTCACGTCCCCTCACGCATCGGCGTTAGAGAGAGAGAGAGAAAGAGAGAGACAGAGAGAGAGACCCTGATGTTCGACGCAACAGGAACATGTTTCATGTGGCAAATTACGACCAACGCCTAACACCCCATATTACTGTGCCAACTTTGGAGCCGGATCAACTTGCGAGGGTCCAGGGCCCCCGGGCGCAAGGGTCCCAGGGGGACAGAGAGAGAGAGGGGGGAAGAGCGAGAGACGGGAAGGGACAGAGAGAGAGGGAGAGACAAGCAAACGGGGGAGACACAGAGAGAGATAGAGCGAAGCACGAGAGAGAGAGAGAGGAGAGAGAGAGAGAGAGACAGCCAGACAGCCAGACAGCCAGCCAGCCAGACAGACAGACAGAGAGACAGACAGACAGAGAGAGAACAACAGAAAGAGGACAGCTAGGGGGAAGGACGCCGGGGGCGCCGCCGGCCGCGCCCCGCCGCGCCGCGGCGCCTTGAGGCCGGACTCCCACCACTGCCCGAAGGAGCGGTAGAACTTCCGGGGGGGGGGGGGGCGCGCGCGGGGCGCCGGGGGGCGGGCGCGGGGGCCCCTCCGCCGGCAGGGGAGCAGGAGCGAAGGTGGCGCGGTCCGCGGCGGCGGCATCGGTGAGAGGGGAACTGGCGGCGCGCAGAGGGGGGCAGGGGGGGGGGGGGGAAGGCTCCCCTTTCCCCTCCTCCGAGGTATTCAATGGTCCCTGGTCCTCCCTCTTCCTCGGGGTCGGGCTCCCGGGGCCGCCGTCTGAGTGCCCGCACGGCCCTGGTGGGCTGCTGCGGCGCGCTCCGCGCCGCGGGCGCAAGACAAGACGCTGCCTGAGCGAGAAAACGGCAGAAACGGCAGGGGGGGAAGGCTTCTTAGAAGCACCCCTGCTTCTCAGAAGGCGCGAGCCTTCTCTAGAGGCGTAAGGCCGAGGCCTTCTAAGAGGCAGGGGGCTTCTGAGAAGCCTTCCCCCCTCCCCCTACCCCCTTTGGCGCGCCGCCAAAGGAAGCTCCGTCGGACCGCCCATGGCATCATTGAAGGGGCCCTGGGACACACAAAGAAATAGACACTGATCCCAGGAGTCCGGATCTTTTTCCATACTTTCTGGCTTTAGTCTCCCCCACACACACTTCCCACATGTTTCCATATTTTCTGGGGAATCGACGAAAAATTGTGTCTGTGTGTGTTTTCCCCCTCCTGAATCATTCACGTCGACGCCTGCGCACATGTACGGGACGCACACGGACACATACTGATACGATATGTCCTCCTGGAGGCGGGCGTCCGGTCCGGACAGATGGTATTCCCGTCCTGCAGTAGATTATTTCCCGAGCGGTGTGGCCAGAAAGCACCCGCCACGACGCATATACTATAAGATTTCTCGGTGCGCGCGTCGCCCCTGGGGGGGGGGCGACACACATGTACTACATACTTATGTACTAAGTACATACTTATGTACTAAGTACATAAGTATGTTGGGGTGAACCGCATGTAGAAGAGTCGCCACAGCGGGAGCGTCGCAGACCAAGAGTCCACCCGCAGCCGGTCCTTTCTTCAGCTTGTGGGCGAGTCTGCTCGAGATCTCGCACGGGCCACAGTCGAAGTGAAGGACGATGTAACCCTCGCAATGAGTCGCCGTCACCTCCCCAACCCGCCAAACCACCCCCGCTACCAACGTGGTGCCCCTTTTGAGTTCTACGCCGTCCCTTCTGGGTTGCACTGCAAGGGAGCGACGAGCGCACACAGACCGCCGAGCATGGCCTCTACACGGGAGCGTGTCGCAATCCGTGGTCTGCGTGGGCGAGGGTGATTCGGACTGATGCAGCCGTCGCGCAGCTTTTGTCGGTGAAAGGCCCTGTGTTCCAGAGAGCCCTACCCTGTCAGCGGAGCATCGTTTTGTTGTTGTGTCATCCTTCGCTCTCTCTCTCTCTCTCTCTTTATCTTTCTCTCTCTCTCTCTCTCTCAGTTTGTCTCTGATACAAGAGCGGTGGCAACGACAGCTACAGTAACGACGGTTGCAGCAACACTCAGGTCACACAGCCAACTGCGCGATGATGTATCGCATGCTGCTGGATGATGCTACGTACTTTATGTGTGCCACTGTATGCTACCGATGCGTGGTGATGCCTGCAGCTGTCTGCTGCCAGCTGCCGCTGTATGCTGACGTCTGCTCTTGTATGCAGCTGTGCGCTGCTGCATGGTGTTGCACGCCCGTCTTAAAGCTGAAAAATGGTGGGCGGTCGCGCCTAAACGTTTTTGACCCCTCCCCTGGAATAAGAGGGTCACTAACGATCTTTCCGGCGGCCTTTATTGGAGGACTGAGAGCAGCTCTCGCAAGCGGCGACTGCTTCGAAGATCGCAGACCCCCAAGGATGACAAGTCGAACGTAGGTCTGCGCGCGTCACTCCGTTGGACCCCCAAGCAACCGCCGAAACTGGCGACAGTTTCAGGGGAACAAAAAAGTGTCATAGACATAAAAGCTCGGAGGTCCGCGCGGATTTCTCGGATCCGCGCTGGACACTCCTCCCTGGCGCGCGGAGCGCGCCAGGGGCGGCGCCGGAGGCGCCGCCAGGGGGGTCCAGCGCCGTTCCGAGAAATCCGCGCGGACCTCCGATTTTGTATGTCTATGCCACTTTTTGTTTCCCTAAGTTTCGCCAGTGGCAACTCGCCATACATGGCGAAGTCGAACCTCCGCTCGCGTAGGCCATCACTCCGTTGGACAGCGCAGCGCAGCCCTCGAACGTGGCGACCATCCTGCCACACTGTGCCCGAGACCTCCGAGGATCGACGCAGACGACCTTCTCACGCGTGTGAGCGTCTTCTTTGCACGAATATGAAGGGGCCCCAGGACACACCCATAAATACACACAAATAAAATTATTCCCCATAGATTCCCATATGTTTTGAGTTTGTGTCTTCCCCCCCCCACTTCCCATATGTTTTTTTTCCTGGGAGTGGACGATTACTTGTGTCTGTGTCTGTTTTTCCCCCCCCTGAAAATAATCCGTTCTGGTTCCTGGGGGGCGTTCCGCTGGCCCCGCTGCCCTGGGCCGCGGGCTTGGCCGCGCTGCGCGGGCTCTCCGCGGCTGCCCCCCCGACGTAGATACCCCAGCTGAACGCACGTCGTGGACGTCGACGCCGCGACGACGTCGTCATCATTGGGGCGAGGGGCGCAGTGAGGCGACGTCTTCGACGTCGTCGCCGTCGTCGGCGTGGTCGTCGTCATCGTCGACGTCGACGTCGGCGTCTTGGACGTCGGCGACGCGACGACGTCGGTGAAAACGGCACGACCTGTGATGACACCGAGATGGCCCACGGTGGCCCCGAGCCGGCCCAAGATGGCCCACGCAGAGTATGGCCCAGTAAGCGTATCTTAAGCCCAGTCTAGCATCTCCCAGGAATGCGGCGTCGATTGGCGGAAGCCGGTGTGCAATTATAGCGAAGCGGCGCGCACAATCAGGATCGAACGAACCAAGCAAGGCCTCAGCCAGTCAAATAAACACGTTTGCACAGATGACAGCACGCCAAGCACCGCCCAATAAACGTACGTCAAGTATCTGGTCGTCGTCGTCGTCGTCGTCGACGTAGTCATCGTCGTCGTCGTCGACGTCACTTTGCAAGGCCCCGACCTGCACCTCTCACGATGGAGTCTGCGCCGCTCACCATCCTCTTTGGCCTAACACATGGAGGTCCCCCTCCCGAAAACTCCCCGGCGCGAACAGGCGGAGAGGGGGGAGCCGAAATCCTTCCCACCCCCCCTTCCGGCGCCCGGGGGGGGGGGGGACGGGGGTCCGACCCTCCCCCTTCAAAGGAAAGGAGGGGGGGGGTCCGAAACTGCCCCCCCCCGGCCCTTGATGAAAGGGGGGGGGGGCGAGCAGCCCCCCCTTGCAATTGCAGGGGCATCCACTGGCACTCTTTCTCTGCCATGAGTGGACGCAAAAGTGGACTATATCTGTGCTAGCCTTGCTTACAAGTGGGCTACATGTGCCCCAGGCGGCGCAGAAATTTAGCGATCCAGGCTCAGTAGGCTACGCACACCCAGCGGACTTAGCTGACACCCGTCAGCCACTTCGGGCATTGGTAGCCCACTTATGAAACAGGTTAGGCGAAATATAACCCACCTTGGCATCCAGTGATTCCCCACCCGCGCCCATTTCAGTATCCCTGGCGCAGGTGGTTTGTCGGACCATCATTCGGGCCTTTGGCAACCATTCGAGACGATCCGGGCCACCCCGGAACGCTCTCGGCGAAGCGCAGCTGCTAGACAACATCCCGAGGCCGGAAGCCTGTCGATATCGTGCGAGCCCGCCCGAAAACCTCGATCCCCAGAGGCCTATCCCCTGGGCAACCACCGCGCTCATCGCACTAGACCCAGACTCATCCCTCCTCCAGGGTTCGGTAGGGCATGTCCTCCTACGGCCGGATTTTGACAAAATGCCAAAAGAGCTCAAACAAATCTTCTCCGGACTATATTTGACTCGTCTGGCATATTCCTCCTGTAGAGGGACACGCCCGAAAGCCTCGATCCCCAGAGGCCTATCCCCTTAGCACCCCCCCACACATCCCACTAGACACTAGACCCAGGCTCGGCTAGAAAAGAGAAACAACGGCATAAGCATGAACTTGTGCCGCTCCGCGCGAAGCTTCTTGGATCTGCGCTGGACCCCCTTCCCTGCCGAGCGGAGCGCGCCAGGGGCGGCGCCGGGGGCGCCGCCAGGGGGGCCTCAGCGCGGATCCAAGAAATCCGCGCGGGGCGCCAAAAATCATGTTGATAGAGCCCTTTCTTCTCCGACAACCCCCGCGCTCATCCCACTAGACCAAGACTCGTCCCTCCTCCAGGAGCCATGGTTTGGACGCCCGAAATGGTTACGGAAAAAACTGGCACAATGCCGAACAACGAATGTTGTCCAAAACCGACAGCGGCCGCTGTTGGGCAGGCTGCTGTATGTCTTCAAAGGACAACGTCCGCGGCGGCGCGAACAGTGAATCCTGTTTAAAACGAACAGGAACTGCTGTTTGTTGACCCGTTCTTATTTCCATTCTTCATGCCGAGGCGTGTCTGGAGCTCGAATCACAAGTCCAGAGGGTTCGCACCGATCATATGCTGCATCAGTCTTGCAGGATCCTCACGGCAGCTCGGGCGCATGTTAGTTGGCTGACGGACGAAAAACGAACAGGAACTGCTGTTGGGCTTCGTACCCCTTCGATCGTCCCGATCGTCAGTTCGGCGGTGGACAAACCTCCCTTTAGTAAACCACCCTTTCGTGACAACGGCCTGGGACCGAAACCGACGCACCTGGACCCGCAAAACTGACGGCCGCGGCGCCCTCTCGCGAACCGAAAACGGCCAATTCGCTAATCGACGTGTCAGGGTAGGAGGTCTGCCCACCTTGGTGGTCTCCAAACCAGGTGGTGAGACACCCGGTGGTGACCCCGATTCCCCAAAGAAAAAAATCTGGGTGGGTCACCACCGGGTTTGGGGACACGCGGTCGCCACGAGGTTTTGCGTTTCCTGGGCCAGCCAGCGCTCGAAAACCATTACCCAAATCGCCCAAAACTCACCACCGGGTGTTCTCACCACCACGTTTGGGGACCACCAAAATCCCGCCTCCAGGAGCCATGGGCTCCGGGGAGCGGGGGAGTGGGCGGGGGCCTTCACCGGCGCGTGGCGGTCGTCCGCGGGGAGCAGCGAGCCCACCTCTCTGCGGCCGCTCCCCGGGCGGAGGAGGAGGCGCAGGAGCTCTTCTCCTCCTCCTCCTCCTCCTCCTCCTCCTCCTCCTCCTCCTCCTCCTCCTCCTCCTCAACCTCAACCTCAACCTCAACCTCAACCTCAACCTCAACCTCAACCTCAACCTCAACCTCAACCTCCTCCTCCTCCTCCTCCTCCTCCTCCTCCTCCTCCTCCTCCTCCCTCCTCCTCCTCCTCCTCCTCCTCCTCCTCCTCCTCCTCCTCCTCCTCCTCCTCCTCCTCCTCCTCCTCCTCCTCCTCCTCCTCCTCCTCCTCCTCCTCCTCCTCCTCCTCCTCCCTCCTCCTCCCTCCTCCCTCCTCCCTCTCCCTCCTCCCTCCTCCTCCTCCTCCTCTCCTCCTCCCTCCTCCCTCCTCCCTCCTCCTCCTCCTCCCTCCTCCCTCCTCCCTCCTCCCTCCCCTCCCTCCTCCCTCCTCCCTCCTCCCTCCTCCCTCCTCCTCCCTCCTCCCTCCTCCCTCCTCCCTCCTCCCTCCTCCCTCCTCCCTCCTCCCTCCTCCTCCCTCCTCCCTCCTCCCTCCTCCTCCTCCTCCCTCCTCCCTCCTCCCTCCTCCCTCCTCCCTCCTCCCTCCTCCCTCCTCCCTCCCTCCCTCCTCCCTCCTCCCTCCTCCCTCCTCCCTCCTCCCTCCTCCTCCTCCTCCTCCTCCTCCTCCTCCTCCCCTCCTCCTCCTCCTCCTCCTCCTCCTCCTCCTCCTCCTCCTCCTCTTCCTTTCCTCCTTTCCTCCTCCTCCTCCTCCTCCTCCTCCTCCCCCTCCTCCTCCTCCCTTTCTCCTCCTCCTCCGCGCCCCGCGACGGCGGCGACGAGGAGAACGCGGGAAACGCTGGCCCGCTGGCGCAACCAGCCCTCCGCGAGCGGGCGGGCGGGGGGGCGGGTCGGGCGGCGGGCGGGCGGGTCGGGATCGTGATCGACCCCTTATCAGAAGTCTCTCCCGCAGCCTGGGGCCCGTGGAGGCCAGGGGGTCACGTCGGAGACGGGCATCGTGAAGTACTGGGTATTGTGAAGGGGCCCCAGGACACACGAATAAATACACACAAACAAAAAGATTCCCCATATTTTCATATGTTGTCTGGGCTTTCGTCTTCCCCCCCACTTCCCATATGTTCCCATATTTTTTCCTGGGAGCCGACGATGAATTGTGTCTACGTGTGTCTGGAGACGGGCGCTGTGGAATGCTGGGCGCGGTGGCAAACATGGAAGCGCGGCAGGCGCGCCGCGGGCGGCGGCGGGGGCGGCCGGCGGGCGGGCGGCGAGCGGCGGGCGGGTCGGGATGCGGATAGAATTCCTAGGGAGATTCTCTTTCTCGCAGCGGGTTGCCGTTGAGTAATGCGGGATGGCGATTTTACAAAAAAAATGGGGGAGAGCGATTAACAAAATGGTTATCTGCTATTTCTGCACAGTTTCCCGACGAGAGGAGAACGATGAAAAAGAATGGTCTTCCAGCCCGCGGCTGGTTTTTTCTAATCGTCATCCCAGGCGGCGCCGCGTGAACACGACCCCCGGTAAATTATTAATCGTCATCCTCCATTACTGGGTGGAGTGCTTCGAGACGATTGCTGTTGCGTTCCGGGAGGTGCATTGGGGACGGTCGCTGTGGGGTACTGGGTGCGGTGGTGAGCATGGACGCACGGCGGACGGGCGGCGGGCGGCGGCGGGGGCGGTCGGCGGGCGGGCGGTGGGCGGGTCGGGATCTCAATAGCACCCCAGAGGGCAGCGGGGCGCCGTGGAGTGCTGAGTGGTGCGTTGGGGACGGTCGCTGTTGAATGCTGGGTGATGTGTCGGAAACGGATGGTGTGGAATGCTGGGTGTGCGGACGGCGGGCGGCGGGGGGGGGGGGGCGTCGGCGGGCGGGCACTCCTGCGGGCTCTCTCTTGCAGCGGGGTGCTGTTTTGAGTACCGGGCGGTGCGCTGCAGACGGCTGCTGTTGGGCAGTGAGTGGTGTGATGGAGACGGGTGCTGCCGAATACTGCGCGTGGTGGTGAAAACATGGAATCACAGGCGGGCGGCGGCGGGGGCGGTCGGCGGGCGGAAGCTGAGGGGTGGGGGCAGAAGGGAAAGGCAAGCCAAATCATGTCCCCGACGGAGCTGCCCGGGCCTTGCCAAGTAGGCGCCGCCCCGCGCCCCCGCCAAAGTGGTTCGGGAAGAAGCGACGCCGCCGAAAGAAGAGACTTGGGCCAAAACGGTTGATCACTGAGCCGCGCTCGCTCTTCCTCCTGCGCCTGAACGGGAAGAGCAGAAAAGGCACCAAGCAACGAAACGCAAAGCAATGGTCGAACGGAGAACGTCTCGCGCAACGCAAGGCAAGGCAAAGGTTCCTCCGAGAACTTCCTTCGGGAGTGGTCGTGGACCCCCAACACTCATAGATGGGTATAGTCGCACCAGAGTGAGCACCACCAGCAGAGAAACGATCATGTAACTTGACACGGACCGACTTGTGTGGGGAAACATAAAGACATGTGGATGGCAAGGGAAGTGTGTGTGTGTATATATCTATGTGTATATATGTGTGTGTGCGTGGCACGTACCAACTATGTGGTGTAGTCTATGTGGTACCAGCTATGTGGTGCTTGGGGTCCTGTGACGGCCCCCCAGAAGCTGAAAACCTTCAACAACAGTCCGTCATCATGTGCTGACGACGCAAAGCGGCATGGATCCCTCGGTGCTCGCGGGTCAAAATGAGCCCCCCGACGTCTCCGGGGGTATGCTCTCGCCAGAATCTCAAGGGAAAACCCAGCCATGACCACGAGAGCACCCAAGGAGATTCAAAAACGTCCCAACCCCGAGAACCTCGAACCTCTGGTCCCAAAGATCCGATGCGTTTCCATAGTGTTGTTCAATAAGGCGTCCCTTCCCCGGGGGAAAAAAATATTCCTGATCCGTTTCTTGACGGTCCCGAGACCAGGCGAGTACCCCCAGAGGCCGAAAGATTCAGACCAAACATACGAACAACAAATCTCGAATCTTTCAAGACGCTGAATGCCTGCGGTCGTGGTCGTGGGACCTCGAACCTCTGGCCCCAGAAACCTGCCAATCTTTGTTTTTGTGAATGCGCGGCCGGGTCCTGATCCCTTCCCGGGGGCAAGTTCTCGCCCCGGACACCCCTTGGATGGTCATGTGGCCCGATAGCGGGCCCTGCAGGCTGGAAGAGTGAACAAAAAACGCCGAGATCGGAAAAAACGCACGTTGGCGCAAATCTGGGGAAAAAGCAAAATGAACGCCGAGATCGGAAAAAAACAAAAAACAAAAAACAAAAAAAGAGAACAGAAGAGTGGAAAAAAAACGCCCAAATCGGACAAAAAAACGCCGAGATCGGAAAACAAAAAAACGTACGTTGGCGAAAGTCTGGGGACGCCGTCGGGGCTGAGCCACCGTGTGCGTGAAGCAGTCGCCGATCGGCGTGGTGGTCGTGTGCAGGGCCCTGCCGCAGACGCGCAGGGCCGCCGAGCCGACGTCTTCGCCGTCGCCCGCTTGCGTCCTCGCCGACGCTATCGGTGACGAGCTTCGACGATCTCCCAACGACGAAGGCCCTCGCCAGATCGCGGCTCGACGTCCTTCGCCTCGCCGCCGCCGCCGCCGCCGCCGCCACGGGAACGGTTCGGCAGCGCCGTCGACGCGACGCCGCCCCCGAAATTGCCCCCGCCGCCGACTGCGTCATCACCGTCCTCCTCCTGGAGGCTCGACAAAATCGCCCCGCCACCGTCATAGTCGCCGCCGCCGCCGACGTTGCCGTCGCCAACGACATCGTCTTCGTGGATCACACCGTCCTCCGCCTCCTCCCGGAGGCTCCCCAAAAAAACGCGTCGCCGTCGCCGTCGTCAACCTCATCACCGTCCTGCTGCTCCTGGAGAACAAAGTCAAAACGCGCAGCCGTCCGTTACCCAATTGTACGAGACCTGTGTTGCATCACAACAGCAATTCGGCCCCTGACTTTCGTCCTGGCTTCGGTTCAGCGAAGTGATGAATTTCGGGGTATCTCCGTGGGAAAAAAAAACATCACTTAACTAATCTGGGGCCCCTGGGGCCTCAGTCGGTCCTGGAGCCCAAAATTAGTGACGTGATGGTTTTCGGGCCTCGAGAATTGGGGCCTCTGGGGGCCCTTTTCGGGCACAGGAGGAGGAGGAGGAGGAAGAGGAGGGTAGGAGGACGGAGGAGGAGGACGAGGAGGAGGGGGAGGAGGAGGAGGAGGAGGAGAAGAGGAGGAGGGGAGGGAGGAGGAGGAGGAGGAGGAGGAGGAGGGAGGAGGAGGAGGAGGGGGGGGAGGAGGAGGAGGAGAGGATCTTTGAAACCAATACCAGCCGCAGCGGACGCGCCGGGTGGCGGCCGATGCACACTGGCTCGTGGCCGGAGATTCGAATATTGGGCATCGAGGTCGTCAGCCGATTCGGGCTGGTTTTTTCGGGCCGCCGGGGATCCCCCGAAGCGGAGACGGCGCTGGCCGTCGCCGCCGCCGTCGCCGTCGCAGTCGTCGTCAGTCGTCGGTGTGGAATTTTGCATTTTGCCGCGGTGGCTCGAATTATCTGTTTTGGGGGGGGGAATGCTGGCCGATCACGTAACCACTTCGCTCCGGGAAACCCGGCATATGCCCGCGCGCACCGGAATTGCCCACCCGTTTCAGACCTGCGCGCCCGACCAAATCAACTTATCATATTTTTATGTAGGGGGGCAGGCCCGATAAGCCAGGCTATCGCCAGACCCTTCGGGCGGATGGTAGCGGGGGTGACCTGAATTGGGGGCGAAGGGAAAAACCTGAAAGGAGCCTCTTTGGACGTTGTTGAAGCCTGCACGGGCCCCGAAAGGGCCCTGAAGGACCCCCCCCTTTAGGGCCATTTCCCCCCCCCCCCCTCTTCTATTTAACCTAACCCACACCCCCATCACCACCCGCCCAAGCCTTTAAAACCAAGCAGTTTCCTGTCGGGATGGAAGGGAGAGGGTTCTGACGCCCTCGGGAAGGGTGTCTGGGGTGCGCCCAGCCGCGCGCTTCAGAGGCATTGTAAACGCATTGCCATCGGCGGCTCCGCAGCGTTCGCAGGGAAGGTCGAGAGAGGAGGAGGAGGAGGAGGAGGAGGAGGAGGAGGAGGAGGAGGAGGAGGAGGAGGAGGAGGAGGAGGAGGAGGAGGAGGAGGAGGAGGAGGAGGAGGAGGAGAGGAGGAGGAGGAGGAGGAGAGGAGGAGGAGGGGAGGAGGAGGAGGAGGAGGAGGAGGAAGAGGGGGCGGAGGAGGAGGTGGAGGAGGAGGACGACGAGGAGGAAACGGAAGAAGAGGAGGAAGTGGAGGAGGAGGAGGAGGAGAAGACTTGAAAATGAAACGCATGACGACATGCGACGCAGAGCGGGATGGCGCCGCCAGGCGAAAAGAGAAAGTCGGAAGCAGGAGCGTGTAAAACCGGGCGCGTTAGCGTGCATTCCTGGGGGCCAGACGGCGTCGGATGCAAAGTGGCAGGCGCAGGCAACGCAAGGGGTGAAAGAGGCAGGATGGACGCAGTTCCAGTCTGGTGTCCAAGCAGGTCAATTGCGCCCTTGTTGGTCTACCATGCGCAAACCGCACAGGAAGCGGGGGCGTGAAATTCTGCCGGGGTGCACTACTGACCGCACCTCTAACAACAGCCTGCGACAGAGACGGATGCTGACCGCCCTCTTCATAAGAAACTGCCTGCTGCAAGCGAATGAAAACTGGCGGAGCACAGGCGGCTGCTCAACTGACGCGGTCAGCTGGAGCGGTACTCACTCTTTTACTCGACTTCCTCATTACCACCGCCGTCAACGCCAGAAAACTTGACAAGACGGAGGTCGACTTTGCCGCGCAGTCACAAGGGCCTTCGCTTCACTGTTGGGTGAGTGATCTCCGCTGGGGGGGCCTTCTTCCGACTCTCGTCGCCGAACTTGACCGCGTCCTGGTCGCTGGCCGCCCATCGAGCTGAGATTGCACCCCCGTCCCATGCTGCCACCGGTCATGGGATCGACCCGCGCGTCTCGAATATCGCCCCCGAAGCATTCCTTGATCTGCTCGGTGCGCAGATGGGCAGCTAACTACCACGGGTGGCCGGCCATGCTGTTCTCGGAGGGCGGCCGCGCCGGGTCCACGCGCAGGGCGCTGAAGACGGACGTGCCGTCGATGACGAGGTCTGCAGGAATCGCGCAACTGACCCCCCTCCCCCCTCGGCTTCCTGATCGCCTCTGCAGAGGCGGGGCCACGCACCATCTCGCGCAGCCCGAAGAGGCCCGCCTGCAGTCCGTCGGCTGCGCCGAAGGGCTGCGGGCAGCTCTGAGCCGAACGAAGATCTGAGCACCATCGACCAGCTTGCGCTATCGGCTCACTGCGTGCAACGTGGGGGGGCATACCTGTTTGCTGGCGCGGCTGCATTTGCCGAGACGCATGCATACGGCTCCTGTCATGCCGTACCCTGTCTCCTCCTCCCTCCTGACGGGCCCATCGCTGCGCGCGCTGAGTCGCCAGGCACACTCCATGGCGGGGAACGCGATGCGGGCCTCGATCTTCTTCATGGCCAGAACAACTGAGTTGAGCTGCGCTGAGCCAGAACAGCTGACTTGAACTGAGAGGCGATTTATTCCCGCATCTCTGTAGGGCGACGATGCACACCGTGACGCGGCGACGGGTCAATAAGGCGTCGGCCTGCCTCCCAAGAGGGAGACAAACAAGACTGGAACTTGCCCTCCGGCCAGATCGTCAGCCTCAGCCATAGGGAGGTCGACGTGCCTGATCGGCATCAGGGCGTCGATGTACTCGTCCTGGTCGAGCGTCACTGCACCATCGGAACTGCAGTGCTGGTGCGCCCCGCGATTGGTGGAGTCGTCGCAATCACCCTTCATCTTGCCGCACACGCTCTCGATACGGCCGGTTAACCGGCCGACGTGCTCCTTGTGCCCGTCAATCCAAAAAAAAACGTCAACACGCTTGGACAACATGGGAAGTAGCTCTGGGCCGCTGGTGCCACAAGCACGAGACGTCTCAATCTTGACCTCGAGCTCTGGGCCCCACCTAACGGGTTTGGCGCTGCGCTCTAGCGAAAACGTGACCCAGGCGAGCTCCGTGGAGAATGCCCGGGGCGCATCCTTGCAGCCCGCGCCTGGCATGACGCAGCACAGGCACTCGGACCGCTCGTCGAAGCTGTCGTAGCCAGGCACATGCCTGAGGATGGCTGCGCTGCCTGGTGCCAGGGTGAAGTTCACCGCATGTGTTGCGTCCACGTGTTCCCGCATGTCGGCGCGTGTCATGCCTTGCAGGAACGCCTTCTCGACCTCCACGGCGACGCACGCCTGGTCTGGACGACGCGCCGCCCAATGAAGACAGCATGCGCTGCCGCTTGCTTCGCTATCCCAGCGAACATCACCAGGGCCGGGCGACCATTTCGCGGCAGCCCCTCAACGCAACGCGGCGCTGGATGATCCTGACAGTCTTGCCGTCTGGTTTCTTCCAGTGCTAGCACTGGAAGACATATCTGGAGTCCATTGCCTTTCGGGTGCCCCTGAGCGGTCGCTCTCGAAACCTGCGCACTTGACCCTGATGGTGAGCTCGAGGATGGCCGCTGCGACTTCCTTTGACACCCTCGGCTCTTCCTCGTGGGTCAGAAGGTCGGCGTCGCCCTGGATGGCCGCGGTCTCGACGGCAGCATGAATGTTGAGCGCGTTTGCCTGGGGGGGATCGTGTAGCCATTCCAATTCAGCCACGCCCAGTCACGCTCCTGCTGGCGCGCAGATAAGCCCATCGTAAACATAGACGTACGCAGACCCATGCGCATATACTCACTCGTACTACTGAGACTCAGTCACACTCCAACTCATTCACAGTTTGATTCACTCCGTCTTTCAATGCGGACAGGTCCATGCAAATTTATGCACATATGGGGAGTTCCACACAATTAATAATTACTCCGACCGCGCCGACTCCTCCCTACACCCCCGTCCTCCTCCTCCTCGTCCTCCTCCTCCTCCTCCTCCTCCTCCTCCTCCTCCTCCCCTTCCTCCTCCTGTTTCCCACTCAGGATCACTACTTAGGTTTGCTGTGTTGATGATAACTAGATTGTTGATGATGATGGTGGTGATGGTGTTAACGAGGGCGAAATTAGTGGATGTTGCCACTGTTAGTAGATGATGGTAAGGGTGGTGGTGGTGATGATGAAAGCGGCGATGCTGATGATAATGATGATGATGATGATGATGATGATGATGATGATGATGATGAACAGTACGACGATGATGATGATTAAGGTGATGATGGTTATGACGATGATGATGTTGATGATGATGATGACGATGATGATGGTGATGATGATGACTACCAAGATGGTGGTGTTGTTGATGCTGCTGGCAACAATGATGATGGCAATGAAGGCGATGATGAGGGTGGTGATGATGATGTCACGATGCTGGCAATGATGATGATGCTGATGCTGATGCTGATGCTGATGCTGATGATGATGATGATAATGATGATGATGATGATGATGATGATGATGATGATGATGATGATGATGATGATGATGATGGAGCAGTTTTTGAGTATGACTCGAGCGAGGCGCTGTTTTTCGCACGCCTCAGGTGGGGCACCAGGGGATTTGCACGGGCCCGTTGGTGCCCGGATTGCGGGAATGTCTCGAGCGGTGTGTCTGTTTGCGTGCTCAACATCCTCCGCTTTCGGAGCAGATGTTGAGGATGTCTCGAACAAGGCGCTGGTTTTCGCACGCCCAGGGGGGGGGCGCGAGGGAGTATTGCACGGGCCCGTTCGCGCCGAGAGTGCGAGGACGTCTCGAGCGGCTCAACATCCTCCGCTTCTGGAGAATATTCTGAAGATGTCTCAGGAGAGGCGTTGGTTCTCGTACCCAAGGGGGAGCCGCCAGTGGGTATCTCACTCCTCCGCTCGCGTCCAAAATGCGGGGGTGTCTCAACGGTTTGCCTGTTGGCTTGCTCAAGATCCTCCGCTTTCGGAATTGGTTCAGAGGATGTCTCGGGCGAGGCGCTGGTGCGGTGTTCGCATCCCAGGGGGGCAACATTGTTGCTGGCTAGACTCGCCTGCGTTCAGAGCAGATTATAAGGATGTCTGAGGCGCTGGTTTTCGCACCCCAGGAGGTTCAGATTGCGAGAATGCCTTGAGCGGTTTGCTTGTATCGGTGGTCAGACTCGTGTGGTTCAAGAGCAGATCCTGAGGATGTCGCACTACCCAGACTGATCCAGACTCAAACCCATTTGCACTTAGACGCACTCCCTGTCTGTCAATAATCAGACCCGATACATTCGAAGTCTCTTACGCCCAGAAACGCACGGCGGAAAAGCCATTGCAAATAGAGTCAACCAGGATAATAAGGATGCGCGGTAAGGATGCAAGGGCCTTGGATCGCCATATTAAGATTGTCCGCGCGGAGCGTGGCCGAATTCCGAAGGATGCAAGGGTACCCTGACGCGCCGCCATCCTTGCCGAACGTTTGCCACCGAAAGTTGGCAAGGATGCGCCGAAGGGGCAAGGATGCAAGGGCACCCTGGCCAAGCTGCCCCATCCTTACTGTCAGGGTTGACTGCAGATGCACACGTGGGACGCTCCACGCACGCAGCGAAGGATTCCTCCTCGTCTTGGGCCCATTCCCTCCTCTTCTGCTGGGATCGGAGCGGGGAAAGGCTGGGGGTACAGGGCGGGGGTTTGGTTGGCGTCGCAAAGATCGCGTGCGACGTGGCGCCACCCAGCCCGCGCGTTGCACGCTGTCCCCACGGGCGGGGGACAGCGTGCACCGAGGAAGCCCCTGGCGGGGGGGAGAGAGCGTGCACCGACGAGGCCCTCGCAGGGGGGACGCCGTGCGCAGAAGGGACCGTCGCGGGGAGATCGCCTCCCACGGAGACCGTGCTTGTCGGAGAGCGGTGATGCACGCTATCGTTGCAGCGCTGCCCATATCGGTGGATACTCCAGATTTCGTAATAAAAGGGAGGGGGTCTGGACCCTCCAAGACAAGCCATTTCAGACCTCCCCCGTGGGAGAACCCTCCAAAACATCGTCCCCAGACCCCCCAGGCCCTCCAAGATAGCCTGGAAGAGACCCCCCCCGAAATGAGACCCTCCTCCCTTTATTACGAAATCTGGAGTACCAAGGTGGTGTATGCCTGATCTAACCTGGCTGATGAGTGTGTAACACGTGGCTTAGGGGTTTCACAATCTGAGCTGAGTAGGCATGTGCACCCCACTGGTAAACGAGGGTAGGCCTAATAGAAACCACTCTCGGGCATCCACTGACAAGCCCCATATCCCCTTAGCACCCACCCGCCCCGATCCCAGCAGGACAATAATGACGCCCTGATGCGGCTGGTTCAGGCTACGTTCAAAGAAAAATGGGATATCTCGCAGCGCTCGTTTCTGTTGCCCGCGTGGAAAATGCGGACACCTTGACAAACCTGGGCGCATTGGGAATACTGGAACGTATCATTGTGCTGACCCCTTGATCTTCTGATCCTTCTCGTCCCTCCTCCTCCTCCCTCTCTCCTCCCTCCTCCTCCTCCTCCTCCTCGTCCTCCTCCTCCTCCTCCTCCTCCTCCTCCTCCTCACTCTTTCTCCTCCATCCCCTCCGCCTCTGGACCCTCCTCCTCCCACATCCTCCCAACAACCATGCCGCTCGTGCCTTCCCACACCGTCGGCCTCCTCCGCACGTGCACCCTAAACGAGTCCGACATGCAAAAAGAAAGGCGGAAAGAGAAACCATCGTGGGCGCAGGAGTCGTCACCCTTGGGTTAGGCCGGGCATATCTCCATACAGGCTGAGTCTGGAAGAAAATTGGCCTGACGAAGGACCGAATTGTGCAAATGCGGAGACCGCATTGTGGATGCCGCTTTCAGCGGAGCTACTTGTGGAGACACGAAGCGTGTGAGGGGTGTGCCGAATGGTGCCTTCTGTGGAGCTCCCTATGGCGCCACGAGACGTGTGAGGGGTGTGCCGAAATGAGCAGGTGGACGCATGCGAACCCTGCCGTTGGGGCCTTCGGTGGAGCTCCCTATGGGGCCACGAAACGTGTGAGTGGTGTGCCGAACTGGGCGGGGGGACGCATGCGAGCCCTGCCATAAAGGGCTTCGGTGGAGCTCCCTGTGGGGCCACGAAGTGCGTGAGGGGTGTGCCGAAGTGGGCGGGGGGACCCATGCGAACCCTGCCACTGAGGCCTTCGGTGGAGTTCCCTATGGGGCAACAAAATGTACATATGAGGGGTGTGCCGAATTGGGCGGGGGGGCGCATGCGAACCCTGCCACTGAGGCCTTTCGGTGGAGCTCCTGATGGGGCAACGAAGTGTGTGAGGGGTGTGCCGAAACGGGCGGGGGGACGCATGCGAACCTTCCCGCTGGACCCTGCCACTGGGGCCTTCGGTGGAGCTCCCTATGGGGCCACCAAGGGAGGGGAAGGAGGAGGAGAGGAGAGGAACGCAGGCGCTGTCTCTCCAGAACGACGACCCAACACCACAGGATGGTGAGGCAATAAAAAATTGATACATCATCAGTAATGGTGAAAAATAATCCCAAATCCGTCCCCCGAGTATTCTTTGGCTATTGCTGAAGATTGCTCCTGTAGAGGGGACGTGCCCGACTTCACCCTTGGGGGGAGAAGCTGCGTACGCCTGGAACTTTCGGAACTCCGCCCGGACTTTTTGGATCGGTGCTGACCCCCCCGTCCCTAGCGCGCGGAGCGCGCCAGTCAACCGGCCTCAAACGTATCCCGGTCCCTAAGATGGGCGAGCACAAAGCGAGGACAATCTTAGGGATAGGCCCTCGAAAACTGAGGGAATCCTTAAGATCGGCATCGTGGTGAGGTGACGTCAAACATAGGGATAGGGATCTGTTTCAAAGTGGTAACCTGGGGCGGCGCCACGAGGGGCCCAGCGCCGACCCAAGAGATCCGCGCGGAGCTCCTAGTGTTGATGCGCAGGTATGCAAGATGTTCCTCTTCGGCTCGTGGGCGTCAGAGCCGACATCCTCCCACCGCCTCTCAAGAGAATCTCGCTCAACCCTCAAGAAAATCTCGCTCAACCCATCCCCATCCCCATCCCCAGCCAGCCATGGTATCTCAGCCCCGCCACCCCGCCACCCCAGTTGAGGGCTGCCCTATCGAAACCCGACGGGGACACCCGATACCCCCGCGTACGAAGTTATATCGGCCAACGGGGCCCAGGCCACGCCAGTGGGATGGGGATCGGCCAAATGAGGTTCACCCTTCCCGCCTCTCCTAGCCCCTTGAGGCCCGACGTCGCCAAACACTGCAACATCGCAGAACATCTCGACTGGAGCCAGGGACCTCCTTTTTCCCCCAATTTCTGGAGCGGGGTCGACCTGTGAGGGTCCCTGGGCCCGACACGGAGCGAAAGTTTCTGTTCAGAACAAACAAAAACGCCAGGATCGCAGGGCTGCCCCCCAAAGGGGCAGCGCGACGTTGGGCACGCACCGGCCTGGGCCCCTTCAAACCAGAATCCGTCGGCTTTTGCAAAACCCTGCAACATCTTGCAGGAACTTGCACGCTGACCCGGGTCAATGCACCCCTGGTCCTGCACGATCCTGCAAGATCGGGCGCTCTGCCTGACACACGTCGGCCCCGTCCCTCCCGACCGCGCCTCGAGCGCGCGTCTCCGGGGACCCCGGGCAGCGACCTCACGGTGCCGCCCTGCGCGCGGGGGTCCGCCGCTGGCCACGCCCACTGGGCCCGGATCGTGAAGCGACGTCGTCGTCGTCGTCGTCGTCGTCGTCGTCGTCGTCGTCGTCGTCGTCGTCGTCGTCGTCATCGTCGTCGTCATAAAAGCGTTCGTCGTCGTCCTCGTCGTGAGCGGAGCCGCCCAGTGAGCCCCCGATCGCCAAGCCCCCCGAGCCACTCGTGGCATGTGTAACGCACTTCTACGCCAGGTAAGCCCAACTTTAACCAACATTGGCATTCACTACTAGCCCCCCTGCCCCGTTAGCAGCCCCCGCGCCGATCCCTAGTGGGCGCGCGTTCGGGCCCAAGGACCCAAGGCACGCTTCCGTGGCGCCGGTCGGAGGCCCCTCGGAACTCGGAGGAGTGCCCAGATTTCCGACGCTGCGATTCAGCCTGGGGTTCCCCTTCTTCGACGTCAGCCTATGGACCGATCTCGGACCCGGGGGCCATCGAAACGGATCCGATGCAAGACGCTACCTCGTGTTCCCCGTCATCCCTGCCTGTCGCCCCCATCCTACCCTTCATGCCTGTTCCCTTTGTCCGCGACCCCATTCCCTGTCAGTTATCCTTCTTCTCTTCCTGCATTTCCCCCACGCCCTAGTGTCGTTCTCTTCTCTGCGCCGCGTTGCTGCTGCTTTCCCGATCTCACCTTCGTCGCACGGCATCCTGTCACAAAAGGCTGAAGGCTAATCATGTGATGTCGCCTTCGCACGCGCGCGGTGGCCAAGTAGCTGGTCATCCAACTGATGCCGCGTGCTCTCGAAAGGTCCGCTGTAACGGAGCCACTAGACCGCCATCGCGCGGCGTGCGCCGTCATTGCTAACGACGGCGCGATCATGAACGTCGCGCGCTTGACATTCAACACTCGATGTTGCCCGATACCCGCCAGCCAAAATGCCACTGGCGCCTTTCGCTAGGGAGATTGGATTTAACCTTGGTTCCAAACCTGAGGGGTGTTTTTCCTCCGTGCGAAGATCTAACACAACCCCTCTTCATCTTCAGCCATGTGCCACATGACCAGAAAATTCTGACATTATTATTGGCACACGCTCTTGTCCTACAATCGCCTCTTGATCTGCTATCTCAGCGACGTGGATATTCGCGGAATCGGCCAGCATGTAATAGGTGTACCCGTTGAGCAACCGCGCGCGCCCGACATTTCACCTACTCACAGTGACCAACGGTGACACATGACAGAAGCGGCGGCGGCCGCGGGCGACGGTCTGGGCGGCGCCACATTCACTCTCCCCGCGGCAGGATACGCGGGCCAAGCTACAGCTCCCTTCAGAGTTGCCAGACTTCACGCACCCCTAGGCACATTGCCCCCCCGCGCCAACCCAAAAAAAACTCCTGCAGCGTGCGGGGCGGGATCGCATCTTCCCCCGGCAAACCCTTAGCCCCTAGTGCCAGCCGAAGCCGACTGACGCACCCCACCAAAAACATCGCGCCAGTTAATGACAATGTTCTCGGCGAAAACCGCTGCCTTGATCCTCGAGAACACACGGTCGCTGGGCAGCGCGCGAGCCGCGCATTCCTGTCGCGGCCAACGGCGGGATCAGCTCCAAGGCAAGGAACGGCTCAACCGACCATTCCCCGAATGATCTGCAACTGACAAGATATCTGGTATCGAGGAAGCGATGTCCGACTTGCATGCGATCTGACTTCGATCCTTCCTGCGCAGTTACTCCTCGAGCACTTGCAGTTGCACTCGCGAATGCCCCCCCGCTGCCTCTCGCGATTTGAACGGGTGGAAATTCCGCTGTTCATCTCTCCCAAATAATGCTGATTGGTATCACTTGCCACACTCCCCCTGGACGTCTCGACGTCTCTGAATCGTCGCCGAAGACGCCGCGCGAGCCGCGGCGACCGACGGTCCGACCATAGCGATCGCGACGTCATCGACGCGAATGTCTGAGCGCCACGCCAAGGGCGCCGGCGAGCTCCCGGCGCTCCAGCAGTCCCCATCCAGGGCGACGACTGAGACAATCGGCGATCGGGCGGCGCCAGTGGACGCGGATGAACAACGTCCGCCGATCGCGGGCGAGCACCGGTTGAACTGGCAGCCGCGCTGCGGGCGCCACCCGCGTGCTTTGCGCTATCCGAGCCCAGAGCACCATCACTCACTGGGTCAGCAGCGGCCCGCGGCATCGGCGCGCCTATCGGACGGGCCTTGGACACCGGGGCACCGCTACCAGCTGAGCCGGCAGCGGCCTCGGCGCCAGTCAGTTCATCAACCTTGCAGGCAAGGGACTTGTCACCTTCATCGAATGCCATGAGATCCACACCATCGGCTGAGCCGACAATGCGCCTCCCAGTCTCCTTGCGGGCGCGGATGACGCCGAACGCTATCGCGGCAGCTTGTTCGTCGCATTTGGCCGCCATCTGAACCCGCATCTCTGGTTTGTCGCCTGGCGTTTCCTCGGCCCAGTCGAACTTGGCGCCGAGCTCAGAGACGCACGAACGCATTCGAGGGAACGCATCTGGGACCTGAGGTTCGACCCGAAATCCTCGATGCACGCCTCGGCTGAGTCCGAGCTTCCCGCTGCCGCCCTGGTCTCCGCGCCAAACGCGGAGGCGTCGATCCTTCCTTGTTTTTGGCAGCCTTCAGCTCCAGTAAAGACTGCGCAACAACATGCCCATTGGGAATGGCCACATAACAGCCCTCCTACGTGGACTTCACGACTTTTTCCCCGAGTATCCCCGAAGCACCCTGAAGAGCCGCAAATCCACGGAGATCTGCAGCAATCCCCACAAGCGGCCATCGCAACTCTCAGTGCATGCGGGGGGCTCGCGGTTCTCATCGTCGCCCGCTTCCCGCGCGTGCTCCATCATATTTTTGGACACCGCGCTCTTGGCATTGGCCTCAAATGTTGGAACCCAAATAAACAATTGCTTCGTGCCCAGACCGAACCTGGGCGACGCAGACCGAAGGGAGGTGCCCAAAGCGCCTGCATGAACTCACACGCAGTCGGACCTCGCAACATGAACGGCGGCTCTGACCCGCCCCAGGCGTCACACCTGCGCCGCCGTTGCGAGACGCCTCGAAATGCTTCCCCGAGACACGGCCACTGGCGCCGCCCCCACTTGGCCGCCGGCCTCAAGCAGCGGAGGCCCCGCTGCCCAATGACTTAAATTCCCGCGCCCCCCACGTCGGGGGACCCCTTCGAGTAACCCCATCGGGCCTCAAAGGTGGCGCGGCGGGGCCGCGCCCACTGTGGCCGGCCAACCGCAAGGCAAGATTCTCCCCCGCAGCCCCGTCGAGCTGCGGCGACGATCGGGCCGCCACCCTGCCTGTTCTTCTAGGACGCCACGAAGTCGTCCAGCGGTAAAGGGGCCAATCCATATAGACAGGCTGGGGTTCTCTGCCGAGGGGGCGGCTGGTCCTCGGAACCAGCGGGCTTGGGAATGTCGCCATCTTCCCCGTCTGGAAGACCCACCTCTGCGGCGCGATCCGTCGCGCGCGCGTGGTTCGGGGCGGCGAGACTGGCAAGAAATCGCACTACTTCATCTTCACCGTCGCCCCAAGACAAGGGTATGCCATTGCCCATTTCCCGACAGAGGTTCCTACGGCGGGCGACTAACCTGTCTGTTCGGCGGGGCCGGTCGCGGAAGCCCCCTATGGTCGCGCCAATATTGTCCGCCAGCGCCACGGGGCTCGGGATCGCAGAAACCTTGCTGCTCGGCCATGGCCAGGGCGCGCCTGGCTGACCTGGCAGCAGCATGCCAAACTGGGCCATGGCGCCCCACGAAGGAAGGGGCCGTTTCATTGATGAGAATGGTCTGTCTTCCACGGGAAATTGTCAAGCGCCTTGGCTGGACCCTCAGACAAATCGCCGCTTGGGACTACCGCGCATTCAAAACGCGTCTTCGACGGCGGCCGAAGAGGGCCCCTGCCTGCTGCGCCTGACCACGACGGACAGGCCACTGCTCTCGGGCTCCACGATCAACTGCAAACCGCAGTCCCCGAGGCTCTCCGGAATCGCGGCTGGGGGGCCCCGCCAGCGGGGAAGCCGAGGGGCGGTCGCAAAGCAGATCGGGCAAGCACCGAAACATGAACGAAACTCGCGCAGCCGCGCGCGAAGGCACCGACTATCGCCCAGCCAGGGCGGAGCTGCAAGCATTTCTGCCTCGGGACCCCCAGTCAGTCCAGAGGCCTGAGAACCTTCCGCGGGCAAAGCGTCAGCCACATTATCGACAAGCGGAAAGCGAACGCATCTGACGGAAGATATGCCTGAATTTAGACAGAAGAAAACGCATTATCCTTGATCGCCCACGAATGGTCGAGAATGACGTTCTAAACGACCCGGGTTTGTTCTGCATCTCGTCTCATTCAGGTCGAGACAACGGAAGGATCTCCGAGATGCCCGCCAAACAAGGACGCTGGTTCGAAATCAACATCCCGCCGGGGGGCACTCCCAAACTGCAATCCGCGACACCTTGGAACGGAATTTCAACGACGGCCCGGTGGTCCCGCTGGACCAGTCGAGCACCATCGTTGACGGATAGCCCACGCGAGCTAAGCCAGCGTAGGATCGCGCCGGCTGCCACGACACTGTCGAGGATCTCCCTGGCCGCGGGGAGAATTCTCATGGCGTCGTAATTTGGAGCGGCGGAGAGACCCAGACGCGCCTGCGGGCACTGAACATCCCCCGCGCAGACTCCCAAATAGCTCTCAGCGCACGGCCCGAAGATCTCCGACATCCCATGAGACTCGCGCGGGGCGCACGCGCGCTCAACGCAAACGACCGCCGCTGAATCTCCGTGCACGGCCCCAACGAGGTTAGCGACGGAGGGTCTCAACCGCACCAACTCCGATTGGTCTTCGCCAATTGACTGCCGCCAGTGATTACCCGAGAGTGCACTAAGCAAGTGATGATAACTGGCCCTGGGCCCGAAGAACTGAACGGGGCCTCGGCGCCACCGTCTAAGCCGCGGATCGCCCAGGAAACCGCTTTGCATTAATAAACGCATGC